GATAACCTATTAAAAACCTTTTTAAATGTTCCTTCTCCAGCTCTGTCAATGCTGTTCTGCAGGACATCCCTTGTCTCCTTCCTGTTACATTGGCAGGCATGAGCTGTTTGCTTTCATCCAAGCTGAAGCATTTGCCTTTCAGTTTCACCAAGTGACCTCTTTGTGAAGTCATGTGGAGTTGTAAAGTAAATTGGATCAACCATCTGGCTTTTTTTTCTGTTCCCCATTTAATACATTGCTACCATATCTCCCTGCATCTGAATGGTTTTATTGCTCTGTACTAGCCATTCATTTTTCATCCTGTGTTTCCCTTTTTCATGGAGCACCAGCTACATGTAGTGACTGGAAGGTCTCTGGCTATGTTGTGCTAGGGGGAAAAAGAGGAGAGAGGCAATCCCTTGGAGCAAAACCTTGGAGCTCACCAAAGCTTGGCTACTTTATCTCCATAAAGAGGTGTCCATGCTGCTGAGTGGATTTCTTGCATTCAGGCTTCGATTTTAACCCTTTGGCTGGTAATTTTAGCCAGCCCTTTTGGTTGTGCACCCATATTGGTAAAAGTGAAAAACATACTAGGGGCATATGCCCCAAATAAGTACGTTGATTTATAAATTATATGCAGGTACTACTGTACTAATATTATAAAGCATAACAAAACTATAAATTAGAAAAGCATTATAGAAATATGAAATAAACATTTGTTATTTATTAATAGTGCAAACTGTGTTTTTCTCTGCACCCCAGCAGGGTTTTCTTCTGCATGCACCTCACTTTGAAGATCTCTGATGTAGCAAAAAAGGCTTTCCGTGCTGGTGAATAGTAGTGACCCCTGAGCTAGAGGTGTTGTATCACAGCCAGTGCATCCACAGGGGTCTCAGGACTTCAGCAGAGCCTGAGAAACTGCCCCAGGACTATGAGGGGATGAGAGAGCTGCAGGAATTTGCAGGGGGCAAAGGCAGACATCTTCAGGGGGTTTCCTGGTCGCTATGGGAAGCTGTGACACCCCTCAGCTCCTCCCAGCCTTGGTGGGTAGGAGGTTCAGGGGTGCTGCAAAGCACCCCTGGGTGCCAGGTCCCCATGCCTCCCACCCAAGCAGCACCAAGTGCCAGAGGCAGGGAAGCAGGGCGGAAAACCCGTGAGGCATTCCTGGCTCCCCCCCTGCCGCTGGATGTGGTTGGTGGGAGCAAAGGGTGCCGAAGAAGAAGTGGGGGTTTGGAAAGCAAACAAAGGAAGGGAAAGAAAATATCTTGGAGAGAAGATAGAGAGCATTAGGAGTCTCTTGGGAGGCACAGGGGGTGTGTGCACACACGTGGAGGGAGGATGCAGGAGCAGCCACTTTGATCTCCCAGAACATCTGGTCCGTGGGCATCCATCCGCCTGTGGGGCAGGCCCAGAGCTGTGCGTGCCTGGGAGAGGGGGATGCACACCCAAAGCCTGGTGCTGGTTCCCATGCTCCACAGCCCCTCTCCTTCAAAGCACCCAGGCAGCAGCAGCCCTGCTGGAAAGGCAGGGTGGCTCCTCGCCATTCCCACGCCCGCCAGTGCCCGGGGCAAGGTTTGGTGCCCGGCCATAGCCCCTCAAACCTCTCTGAGCCGTGGAGTGGAGGGGTGTCTGGGCTGCAGGGAGAGCAGCAGAGCAGGACCTGGGCAAAGGAGAGCAGCCTTTGGGGCTTTCATTTCAGTGAGCCCAGGGAGGATGACATGGCCCCTGAGTTGGGCATGGGACACAGGATGACAAGGAGGCTGTGTTTAGTGTTTTGGTGGTGGCAGATGCTTGTGGGAATCCAGGGCTTCCCTCTGGCTGCCCTGGCAGGTCTGGGACCCTGGCAGGGGGTCAGGAACCCCCCTGGACAGAGCCCCCAGAGACACTGTCTGTGATCTCTGTCCATGGAAAAGAGTTTTCAATCTTACAGGATGAATTACAAGCTCTGAGTGTTTGATAAGAGTAATAATTAAGTGTGACACGGGTGCAAAAGTAAAATTTTAGGATTCCAGATTAGGGGTTCAGAGGGCACAAGATGGAGGAAATTGGGAGTGTCTTGTCCTTTTTCTCCTTCTTCATGCCCTCCATGTTTCACTGCAGTGTTGGCATTTTTCTGTTGGTTTATGCTGGGGACACACTGTTCAACGTAGGTGACAGATATTGGCACATTGTTGTAAATCCAGCACAGGTAGTTTGTGGTATTTAATGTTTGTAACATCCCACTGAGGGCAGAGCCCCACACGCTGCCCTGCAGGACAGAGCTGCGGCAGGGCAGCAGAACATGTTAGAGATAAGCAAAAATAAACAACCTTGAAAACAGCACAGACGAATTATGGCTTCTTCTTTGGCAATGGGGCAGAAAGACAGAGACTTTCTACAATCTCGGAATCACCAATACCCACAGATTCCGACAACTAGACCCTCATCAAACAATGAAACAAGCAGGGCATTTCTCCATATCATGCTCTGCTGTGCCTGGAAGTGAGCACACAGCTGCTTCCTAGGGAAAAACTACCCTGGTTGTCATGCAAGTGATTGGGCTGGAAAGGAAGGTCTGGGTGTTCCAAAGCCATGCTTGGTGTTACAAAGGGGACAGGTGGAACATTGCGACCCTCCCTGCTGACCCCAAAACCTAAGTGCTCTCCATCAGGGGATAACTGACAGAGGAACTTCCCAAGGGAATCTGTGCATTTCCCTAGGGAAGCAAAGATCAGAGGGAGGGAGGCAGGGGCAGGCAGCCAAGGAAAGCAGAGCAGACTGGTATGCACAGGCTGCATTTCCTCAGGGGAGATTTGTTTCATATGCAGGTATGTCTTCAAAGGGGACACCAGGGTGCAGGGGAGCACCAGGGATGCTCCAGGGATGCATTGCCCCCCTGGGAACTTGAGTGGAGAGGCAGGTGGCTGTGGGAGCCAGCCATTTCCCAGGGGAGAGTTCTAGTTTGTTGCTAATTTTCCTAACAAAACACAGTCCTATGGGACCTTCCAAAAACCCATGCAGCTAAAAGCTGCATAAAAGCTAGGGATCAATAGGGGCTGGGACTTGGAAGGTTATAAATCTACTGGCATCTCCCATTTTGCCCAAGGTCCTGCTGGAATTAGGTGCTGATGTAGCTGGCTGGTCTGCAGGGCTCTGGGCACAAGCTCTGCAGGATATCTTTCCCCACTATACTGATGCAGTAAATTGTAATCCAGTATCCCTTTTGAGAAAGAAAATGAAAGCAAACTCTCAAATTTCTCTTGTGGCCCACACAGTGAAGTGTGTTCTCTTGTGCCCCCCAAACCTGGGGGGCAAAGCTGTGTCCCTGTGCCCCCTGCCCCTTGTAAAGGCTCCCCCTTCTCTGCTCAGCCCTCTCCCCAGGCCAGGCCAGGCTTTGATGGATTGCAATCCTCCTCTGCCATGGTCAAAACAAAGGTCATGGCCTGAGGAAATTGCTAACAAGTTTTGCCCACCGGCCCCGGAAAAATGGGAGCATTCGTGACAAGGGGGTGAACTTTTTATGATCCCTCCACCCTGGCAGTCTCTTTGGAGAAGCTGCATTTTACATCTCAATGCGGAAAAAAAAAAAATCAAAAATTTTAACTTATGAGTGCATTTATTTTTCCTAATACCTATAAGTGAACATTTCTCCAATTAGAAATAATTTGTTTTAGCCTAAAACTGAGTCTTCCTGAGCTATCCCAAATGTCCTAGTTCTGCCCTTCCGTGAGGTAGTCTCTCCCACAGTAAAGTGTGGTTACTAATGAGAAAATTCAAAATGGGAACTTTACCTTCAAGATGCTTTATTTTTTAGAGAAATACACAAAACCGACCAACACGCTCCCCTCAAAAAAACCTACCAAAACCCAAACCCAAAAAACCCCCAAAAAACCCCAAAAAACCACTGATTATGCCAAAGACATTCTGGTTCTTCCTTCACCATTAGTCATTTCCAAAATGCTGCATTTAGCTCCATTACAGCTGCATCATCCTCCAGCTGTAGCAAAGCCTGCCTGAAATCAGGGCTTTCCTCAGAGTCTGCCCAATCATGGGAACGAGTGGCTGCCATTTATTTCCACACCCAAACTGGGCACTAAACTGGTCCCTGTTTAAACTGATTCATCAAATCCATCCCCAGTTCAAGCCTACATGAACAGAGGAGTTTTTTGAAATGGTTTTTTTGAGAAAAAAGCTCTTTGGGAAGCATCCCTATTCTCAGGGAGAACTCAGGCTAGAGAGAGAGTTTAAAGCCTCAGCCTAAGAGCTCAGGAAAGCTCCCTTTGTACAAGGGGGTGGGAGTAGCTTTGCCAGCCCATGGAGGAAAGAGGAGAAGAATCAAGAATTGTGGATAGTAGTAGAAAAAAAGGTAGAAAAAATAAAGGGACACGTGGCTTGGGTTTGACACCGCCTGTTACACTCGTGATAGCATCTTGTCAAGATCAGGACAAGGCATTTCCTATAGCACAGATAAGCTTTGTCTTTGCCTGGGCTGCAAGGCAGCTCTAAAAGGAGCAACTCTCCATCTGCCCCTTCCCCAGGACTGGTTCCAATTAGTGCCGACTCCACTCTGTGCTGGCTTAGCCCCAGGATTAAAAATCTCCCCGTGCCAATCCCCTCTGACCCAAACACTTCCTGGGACTGATAGGGAGACCAAATTCCTCCTCTTCCTAAATTGGACAGCTTGCTCTTGTCTCCCCAAACTCTGGCCCCTGTGGAGGGGACAGGGGAAGGGGGGATACATGACAGAGAGCAGCCCTTCCTCCTCCCCAGGGACAAGGAGCCAAGGTCCTCAGAAGCCTTTGCAGGGCCTGGAGCTGCAGCTGTGCTGGGAAAAAACCTTGCTGAGATGTTTGACTTCATCTGCCTGCCCTGGACAGCATAGGCAGCTCTGGCACCCAGCTGGTGGGTTTGGGGTACTCAAGATGTCAGGGTGCAGCAGATCACATCTCAGGCTCCCCCAAAAAGGCCCAGGATGGGAAGTTGCCTACATGTGCTCCTGTGAGCTTCTTTGGCCAGAAAAGATGCTGGCCCCTGGCTTGGCCAGCGAGATTGGAGTCCTGCACCATGGCAAAATGTTTCTTGGGCATCTCTTTGCAGAGGCAGCTCTGGTGCTGAGAGCCAGGAGAGCGTGCTCAGCTTGGGAGCAGCCCCAGCCCTAGTGAGAATCCCACAGGAGGGGCAGATGGAGCCCATGGAGCGATCAGGCTATGCTGCAGGGCTGTTTTGGCAGGAGGTATGAGCGTCTGTTACCAGCCCTGGGGGAAACAGAGGGAGATTTCACTGGATGGAGCTGAGGAGAAGGAAAAGGCTTGCTTGCAGCATGCACCTGGGAGCCTTTGTGCCTCCATCCTTCTGCTGTTCATCCCCACATGCCTCTGCTTGCTGGCACCAGCTTTTAAGGAAAATCACCTTAATTTTGTCCCGATGTAAAGCTGTCGAATCAGCAGAACTGAGCAAGTTATTTATTCAGGGAGCAGCTGTGCAATGGCCAAGTGCAAGCTGCCTCCATGCACCTACAGCAGGCACCTTCCAGCATGGAACAGTGCCTGGCTGTGCTGCTGGTACCTGCTGAGAAAGAGCTAAGCTGTCTTTGAACACCTGCAACCCCTGCCCCACTCACATGGGAGATGGAATAAACAGCAAACAGCAAGTGCCCTTTTGGGCCCAATATTCATTTGGACCACCACACGTGGGCTCCAAAGGTTTTCCATTCTTCTAACAGTCCCTAAGAGCCATCATTAACCAGCACAAAGGGGAGTCACAGAGGTTACATCAGCTCCTCCTTAGCAGCATCACTCCATGGGCTCAATTCAGGGCAGAGAAGTTTGACACATATTACCTGTGTCCCAAAATCAGGGTGTGTTCTGGAGAGAGAGGCAGGCTTCCTGGCACACCTGGGCTGCAGGAAAAGCCACAGCCCAGCAGGGACTCTGGGGGGAAAGCAGTGACACCATCTCATTTCCACAGCTGGCTTGTTCATAGGCAGACAGCTGTGCTCCTGCAGGGGAAATGATCCCCATTAGCTTTCCAGGTGCTCTCTTGTAAACGGACTACAGGTGGTACAGCAGTGTCTGACTGCAGTCCAGGGCTTTGTCTCTCTGAAAAAAAGCCCTCTGTGTTATCCTCCCACCCCCATCTGCTCCCCCTTGTAAAGGAAGAGGGAGACCATCCAGGAGACAAGAAAACACACATACAGCAAGGGTGATTGCTATTTTAAGAATGTACTTTATACAAAATAACCAATTCATATGGAAATAAAATCTACAGACCTCCAAGGATCAAGATTTTAAAAAAGTTCTTTAAAAAAATTACCCAACACACAGTATTAAACTAACTATTGAGGTAACTGTCGCTCTTGGGGAACAAAGGTAATCAGCAGACCAAGACAAAATATACACAATATAAAAATAAATAGCATTCCCCTTTCCAGTATTGACCAGGAAAGTTCACACAACTTTGCAGCAGCAGGAGAGAGAAGAGGATCCCTGACACTGTGCTCTACAGGATGGGGAGGGAGGCAGAGGCTCCTGGGCTGCAGGTGATGGAGAGGTGCAACCCCTGCTGGGGACAGATGTGCTGGGATGAGCAGGTCCAGCATGAACTCCTTGAGCAGATAAACTGAGCCCATCAGTCCAACTTTTCCCAAACAGCATCAGCAGCTGTTCAGCCCAGTTGCCAATTGAGCTGAGGACAAGCAAGCCCAGCCCTCGACTGTTACATCCCAGCACACCCAGCAAAACATGCCAGTGCAGAGCCCCACTGCAGAGGTCAGATTTCCCCCACTGAGGGACACAGGCAGAGGCATTTTCACAGCTTGGTGTGGGAAGTCTCTGCAGCAGCCTCAGCTCACCCTCCTGTCACCCTGGGACAGCTGCAAGCCATTGATAAGGGCCAGGCTTTTGGCCCCATGGCCACTAGACCCCTCCCTGCCCAACAACAAAAAGCACAGCAACATAAGAACAGCCTCACCCAAAAAGAGAAAGGCCCCCGTTTTCTCCTTGTGCCCCCGACAGACAGATTACATTCTTTACAAACTTACAATAATACAAAAACAACCGCAACGTTACCCAGCTTCAGAAAAATGAATGGATGTAGTGGCACAGGCTCCCCCACTCCCTTCCCAGCAATGCCAAGTGAAGCAGCAGTGAGTCCCTCTCCTCCCTCAGAGGCATTCAATCAGTGGCCCACCCACCCCTCTTCCATGTGCTGGATGGATGGATGGATGGATGGATGGATGGATGGATGGATGGATGGATGGATGGATGAGGCTCAACTTTACCCAGCTGCTCCCTTCCCAAACACAGAAGCAGCAACCAGCTCTCTCATAGTTACCTTAATCAACCCACTAGTCTCTGGGAAAGCAGGAACGTGGCATGATACAATGCAGGGTCACAGAGCACACCTTGCTTCCCACTGAGACTGTGAAGAGCCCCCCAGTGTGTTCCATAGCCACCTTAGCCCTAAAACAGTAAAGGAAGGTGTAAGTTGCATTGCTGCATGTAATTATTGCTCAGAAAAGGATCAGGCAGCAGCGTTCATTGATCCATCAAGGAGGAGACAGGAGTTTTCACAGCTGTACACAGTATATGCACAGGCATTTTTAACCTAAACCCTCTTGGAGGTAGACATGCCAGGATCATGTGTGGGATCATGGCAAAGGACAGAGGGACTTGCTAGAGTTGGTGAAAATCCCAATTAAGCCTCAGTCCTAATTAATCCTTTGTCTCCTCTTTCCCTGGTGGATGTAGCTCTCTCCTGGATCCGCTGTTCACTTTGATATCCACGTAGCAAAAAGAGGAAGACCATTGCCAAAAGAAATCTAGGCCATGGCTGCAAATGAAGGAAAAAAGCCCTCAGTCAATGCAAGACCAGCAGTGTTAGATCTACAAAACACTCCACGGTCTCTCAAATTCTGCATGTCAGCCAAGGTGAGACAGTGACCAAAAGGGAAGGGCACAACACAGCTCACCTCAAAGGTATGCTTGGATGTTACTGTCTAGTTTCAAATCCATTAAACCCTGTCCTGAATTTCCCTGCCTAGGGGTGGACTGAGCCTTGCCCTGGTTGTCCCCAGGAGCTCTGCAGCAAGGGGAACCAGGACCAACTACACCATCACAGATTCCACCGCTGGTCTTCTCCAAGCCACCCTTTGGGATGACACTTCCCTGTCACTCATTTCAGCACCTTCTCTGAAATTCCAGAGAGCATACAGCAACGCAGTCTTTTCAGAAAAGGAAAGCAGAACAAAGCCATCAAGAACAAAGAAACCACCCTGTTTGAACAGAGAGATGGACAAAAGCCTGACAGGGATCAGTGAAGAAAATAAAGAAAGGCTGTTTTCTAATTATACTTTCATTTTAAATGGAGAAGTGTTGGGGTGAGAACCTGCAGGGGAGCTGCCTCAGTCAGCAGAATAAAAGACAGCCTCTGTGACTTGCTTTCAGATAAGACATCATAAAGCTGATAGCTCTCCAAGACCCTGAGAAACCACACTTACAAAAATATACACAGGCGATTTGCTCCAGAAAGTCTGCATGGGAAAGGCATTTGGCAGACAAGAAAGAATCAGAAGCTTCCAAGAAAAGTGTCTCCATGTACCTCAAAGTCACAAATCAAACCAGTTGGGCCTTGAAGCTTCAAATTTACTTTCCTCTTTTGTCCTCCTCATTGCAGGCTGGTGCCTTGGATTGCTACAGAGTGGTTTGGTGGGTCACACCATGGAATTTATAGACTGCAAACTTCTCCTAAGTTTGCTAAAAGTCACAGTGAAGCCTCAGTGATTCCCTTTCCAGTTGAATTGCCAGGGCTTGTATCACCTAAGATGCCAAAAGATTCAGAGTCTCAGGGGGGTTTTATACAACAGCATTTGCAAAGGCAACTTGACATCTAGGAAGCTTGGGAACACCACACACCACTTAGAAAGGAGGAAGTGGCAGGGAGAGCAAGAGGCTAAAAAGGTAGAGTAGCATACAAAGCTCTTCTGAGAGCATAGGAAATTTTTGTTGTGCTTGAGCAGGGTCAATTTCATAATTGTTCTATGTGTTATATAATCTCACTTAATACAAAATCTGTAATTATAGCAAAACACATCCTCCAGATGGGAAAAGTAATAGCTACAGGAAATTTTGCAAACTCACTAGTCCAGGATGCTTTCTGAAAAAGGACCACCTGGTAATATACTGTACTACAACAATGCTGGGGAATGCACTGGAGCTTCTCTGTAATGTGTTAAAAGTTTAAGATAGTGGCACAAGTATGGCACTTAAAAGCCATGTTATTTTAAAGTGCAGCCACACTTCTCCTGCACTGCAAGCCAACTCGTGGCACAAAACACCACTCTGTACAATAACAGCTGTGATGCTACTCTTCTAAATCCCTCAAACCTATCTTCCACAATATCTACAAAGCAGCATGGTTTGGAAATAATAGAATTCACATTATCTGTTCCTCTTTACATTTGCACGGGTATTCCAGCCCAGCAATCCTCTCCCAGGGCTGTGTCATCTGAGGGGAGTCAGTTTTCAGAGATTTGCTCAGATTGTACCTAGCGAAATTAAGCTCTGATTTTCAGGGGATCCCTAGATGTTGTAGAAGGGAAAGAAAAACCCCCAACCCTCACTTTGAAAGTCTGGAAACTCTAAGATTCCACCAGCATCTCTCCACCTCAGTGTGTCCTGTCCTCAGGAACACCCAGCCACAGTTCCCTGTATTCTTTATAAGTACTTTTCTAACAGAAACCATCTGTCCTCACAACAGCAGCTTGTTAGCTACTTTAATAAAAATTACTGACTACATCAAAAGCTATTTACCTAGAAACCCTCCAGAGGAGTCAGTTTCACTGCTTGGTTTTGTCTTTCACACCTGCAAGTCAAACCCTTCTCCCAGATTTACCTCATGTCAGGTGAGGGTATCTATCACTGTCTAACACTTTACTACCCTCTCTAGACAGACCAAAGCAATTCTTGCCATCCTTAGTTGTCTCCTGTTTTGACTGAGGCTTGGTACTCACCCAGAGGTCATGACCACTAGAACCATGTTTTTTCAGTGCCAGTTCCAGCTGAAGTGTGTTTCAGCTTGGAGAGTTTTTATAGCATCTAAAAACTCCTGTTCCACAGCATTCACAATGGGCTGAATGAGAGGCCCATTCAAATATTCAGCTGGCTGTGATACAGAAGACAGGCTGAAGTAAGGCAGGGCTTTTTTGCAGAATCTACATTCACATTTCCAGAGTTGTCAATACTTTGCTACAAGTTATATTTTCCAGTTCCTCTGTTTTTAAATGTTATTTCCAATCATTTTTATATCTATAGTGAAGTAAAGACTATTTTACAAGGAGAAGCAACTGTGTTTGTCCCAAGTTTGTTGTCTTAAAGAGAAGTTATACTTGCACAATTTTTCATGAATATCTACTACTCCTTCTGTGACTCTGTTCAGTGAAGGATCCAGGCCTGCCTTTTGGAGCAGATGGGGCACCTCTGAAAACCACTGCCAGCTGATGAGCCAGCTTTGGGACAGATTTGGAAGAGACTTAACATAATGTTCTTGGCTGGGGAAAGCAGTTACCCATTTCTCAGTCAAAGGTCAACCTTCAGGATCATCTCTTCCAGTTTAGACCAATCCACCAGTCACAACTGCTCCCTGACAGAAGAATACAAATACAAAAACCACAGCAAAAAACCCCACCTTCCCTTTCCTAATGTAATGGCATCTGTAGATAGATATTGGAAGTTATTCACAGTACATTGACAGATGTCCCTGACAACTGCCTGGCCTAAGCAGCCTGCTGCTGCAGCTCACAGGCTGGCTGCAGCAGTGGGTAAGAACTGCATTTAGAAGCACACTTGTGCAATCACACGAGGAATTTTAACCCCTGTTAGGCTTGGAAAATGCCTTGGCCCTACACAGCTCATCAGAGGAAAAAGTACTGTAGCAACAGAGAAGTGACGCTCATTGGGCACTAACATGGCAGTCCTGCCTTTTCCCAGCTATTCCAGGAAAGTATATTTCTCATCATTTAGGCTTTTTGTTCTTCCAAAAGCTTAGGACAGAAGCAGCAATGGCTCAGTCAGATGCTACCTGCCATTTACTTGAACAGTTCTGCCAGCTTTACACAGCAGGGCAAAGGCAGAACTGTCATGCATCCTGGTTCAATCCAGCTGAAGATATGGGTGATGGCACCATCCAAAACAACAAAGCAGATAGAAAGATTCTCCAGAAACTGGAGATAGTATCCCTCCTCTAGCTGGTAGCACAGACTAAGGGGCATGTTGCTCTGTCCTTCTCCTGCTGCCGTACTCTGTCCCACTCCTTGGCAGATCCTCTTTTTAACCACTGTCCTGTCCTCACAAGAGCTACGCTCCCAGCAGCTCTGGTGAGCTCAGCCCAGCCTCATAACTTAACAACGCCCTTATTTTACTCCAGCTTCCCCAAGAATAATCAACTGCCTGTTAGCTTTAAGATGTGAATAAATGCAGATGAAATTCCTATGGAACTCACTTGCACTGGCACAGAGGGCTTTTCCCAGGGCAGTATTGTCACTATATTCGTGGAAGCTGCCACTGGCCCTGCAGGACCTGCTGCTTGACAACAAATTAAACCAGCTCAACTCTAGCATGCAGCCCTTTTGTCCCTCAGCCTCTGAGCCAATCGACCTCAACATCTAACTCTGAATGAGTGCTTGAGTGCTTTCCAATTCACCTGCAACTCACAAATGCCAAATCCAACAAATGGCCCACATTGTAGTAACCCTACATTCCCCCAGGGCAGCCTCTTGCTCTTCCTCCTCAGCAAGAGTGCTTAGGAAGCCTGTGGCACTTTCTGATTCACTGCTGCAAAGACGTGAATTTAGCCAAGGGTCAGAGAAAGAGGTGGGGACTCGGCTCCTCTTCTCAGGCAGCATGGCAGTACAGATTTGCACAAAATTTGTGCTACTGGATAGGTGCTGCTCCACCTGCAACTGCACTGGTTTCACCAAAATGTTTTAAGGTGACCAGTTATGCAATTTTCTGTTTTCTAGAGCACACATTTCTTCTATCAGAAAGGCAGGGAGAAGGGTACTATACTAGCAGAAGGGACAATGCCATGGGTGTCCTGCCCTTGTTTCAATTCCTGGTCCTGGTTTCCTTGTTCCCCCATGATGACAGGAGCTGGAAGTGCACTCAGGCCCTGGATCCAGAGGGGTGGAGGAGGGGGTGAGAGGGGAAGGAGGAAGAAAACAAGAAAAAGAGGAGGACACGTTATGCTCCTGAGCAATTCCAGCTATTAAGTCAACCAGCCATGGGGTTGTGTCTTGGTTGCAGAGGACAGCAAGTCATCCATCACACATTGTCTCACCTCTCCCCACTCCCCCCACACCCTCACCCTTATCCTGAAAGATTTCAGTGTGTTATGATTGTAAACAGTTAACGATTCCTCCAGTGCTAAGCCCACTACAAGCTGGGCCCACCCCCTCCCCCATTATGTACAATACATTCACCAACAACAGAAATTTATTTAGAAAGGCAACAGGTTAAATTCTGTAAACTGGATCCAGCTCCAAAACACACACGTTAATACTACAAGTAAAATTCCATCATCGTCCTCTTCCACCCTGAAAAATATACCTGAGTTTAGCAGTCAATGAAAGTTTCCACCCCCACCCCCGCCCTCCCCACCCGAAAAATCCCTCAAACCCTGAATGAGACGCAGTCTCCGGTCACGGAAAGCCACTAATTTGGGGTGCCCTGCGATGGCAAGCCAGCTGCTCGGCGGGCTGGGCCCAGCACCACTGTGGGTTTCCCGCACAGAATCCGGCACGGCACCGTGCTCCACAGACCCGGGAAGCTCCATGCTGCTCGGGCGAGGGGAGGCTGGCAGCAAGACCTGCCCCTCCTCTCCGTTGTCCAAATCACGTGTGGCTTTCTTCTTCATGAAGTCTGTCCTTTCTTGGACTAGCTCTGGAAGAGGAAGAACAAGAGTTGGAGGCTTTATCTGGCAGCTTCAAAAAGGAATAATCTCGTGATTGCATGCAACCAGTTCAAAGCTAACACTAGTGATCTGCCCAAGTTCACAGCTTCCTCCAGTTCTTCCCACCCTCATCAAACACCTCAATCCTTTAACCACTGGGAGGAGAAAGACTTGCACTTCAGCTCTGCTCTCTCTAGCAGCCCTTACTTGATCCAGAGGCAAGGCTGATGCTTTTTGTGACGTCAAATCTTCCCGGGCCATGGTTGTTGTAGGCATCTTCGGGAAAGGAACTTGAGCCTGATGCATTTGCATTCTGGAGTCAGGTTGAATGGAGAGAGTTTTAGCACATGAATGTCAGGAGCAAATCCCCACACTTGGTTAAAACTACTTCACTGAAGGCATACATACAACATTAGCATACAAGCAGTTGTCTTGTATATTCTGTCTGGCTTCCCCCCCAAAACACAGCCCTCAACCCATGCCATTCCCCCAGTGGCTTAGCTTTAAGCCAAGTTCCCCGAATACTAGAAGAAGGAAGGACTTGATGCTGTGATTATGACAAAACAGTAATAGTTGAGGCACATTCATGAAAACTGAACAGGGAATTGTTGGAGTAGTAGTATTTTCCACTTGGGAATAAAATGCGATATGCGGCCTCAGGGAGAAGTAACTTTCTGTGATGGAAATTTGACATAGAGAGAAGGGCCAAAGTAAGAGGAGGGAAAAAGAACGCAACATTAAGGCTGTTCATAACAAGAGGCAAACTTCCACTTTAGCCAGTGACTCTGGCCCACTACAAACAAGGTTAAATAAAACATTTACAAAGAAAATGGCAAGGGTCCGTGTGATTAAGAGATGCTCAACATTAACAAAACACTGTAGGGGGAAACTCAGCACTGGTGTAGGGATGGATGAAGCAGGCTAACAGGTTCTCCATGACAGCAAGTGTTCCTTGCTTTAAGGAGATGCAATGAAACTCTCTCTCCAACTTAGCACTCTTACTCCAAGGGTCCAAGAGCCACCTCTTAGCCTTTCAACTTGACTTGCCAACTCCTGTGACTTGAAGCCATATCCCTTCAAGGGTATCCAACAGTGATGGTCACCCAGGCATCACCCACCTCCCACCTTGCCTTCTTGCAGAAAACACAATCTTACCCCGAGGGTCTATACAAGTCCTGGGGTGGCCCCCCCATGCCACCTCCACTGCCTCTCTGATCCATCAGCAGGGCCTGAAAGTGACCCACGTTCTCCTCTCGGCAGCGGTACAGGGGGCCCTCCTGAGAGAGGCCATTGGCCTGGCTGGAGGCTGGATGATGAGACAGGTGAGCATTCATGGGTGATCCATACGTCCTGGGCTGGAAGTGGCTGGCTGGATGCCGGGATCCATAAGGAGAGCCAGTCTGTAGCATCACCCCATGGGGAGGGAAAGCCGAGGGGCCAAATCCCATCCCCGCACCCAGGTGTGGCGGGGGGGCTCCATAGAAGAACTCCCCCGCTGCCACCGCGCTCTGCCTCTTAGCGGCTGCATTGTGGTTGTCCAAATCAAGAAACTCTTTGGGACTCTCCGGTCTTTCCTGGGACTCCTCGGACTTCTCATCTTCAGGCCCCATCTCCTGCCCGTCGCTCGGAGAAACCTCTTTGGCACTTGCTACGTCCACGCGGGTGGGAGAGGCCAGGGCAGCGCTCAGCGCCTCGCAGCCCGGCAGGCCGGCGGAGCCCCGCTCGGGGAAGGGGGGCCTGGCCAGCGATGGGTGGGCACCAGGGTGCCCGCTGGGGCTGGCCTGGGGGTGGAGAGGTCTCTGCCAGTCCGAGTAGCCCTGCGGGCAGCCGTAGTAGGGTGGTCGCTGGTAGTGGTGGTAGGAGGGCTGGGGCTGCGGCTGGTAAGGATACGGCATTCCCTGGGGCGGCCGATACCGTGGGAAGACGCCGGGGTGGGCGCTGCTTGGCTGGAAACCCCGCGGGGGAAAATGCTGGGGATGGGAGGCAGGAGGAGGTGGCTTCCCTCCCATCACAGGGCTGAACCCCTGAAGGCCTGGGTTGATGTGGTACCGCCCGGCTGAATTCGGGTATTCCAGACTGGACATGTAGAGAGGATGAAACTGGTTGGGGGTGGCCCCCATGGAGGTGGCATCCACGCCAGGGAGGCCGGTGCCCTGTCCCATGCAAGGCACGGCTCCTTCGGGCAGAGCCTTTCCCCCACCACAGAGGGGCTTCTCCAGCAGGTTGGCGGCCAGCCCCTTCCCCTCAGGGCCGCTTGCCGGCCCCTCACCCGCCGCCCCATTCTGAGGCAGGGGACCCCCTCTTTCGGAGGTGGGCACCAGGTCCCTCGCGCAGCCTGGGTCGCCGGTGTAGCCGCTCTCTGCTGACCACGCGCCTTTGCCCTGCCCTGCCTTCAGGTCGCCCTTCACACTGGGGTCATCCCCCTCCCCATCCGAGGGCAAGGCGCGCCTCGTGCACTCCATGGGCAGCGGGGGCTTGGGATGAGGTAGGAGTTTGGCGTAGGCCCCGTCGGGAATGCTGATGCACTGAGCCTTCTCGTCCATGCCTGCCAGTGTGTCCACTGAAAGAGAGGGAAGAAAGCCAAACTTATGTCTAATTTTCGCAAATTTGGGTGATCTTTAAGAGCTGCTTCTTTTAGAAGTGCTCTTTCAAAAACTGCCCATGAGGTTGCATCTCTCTCTCTGAAAGATGGCACAGGTAGACGCTGTAGTTTGCAGGCCACTGCTAAGTCACAGACCCTCTGGAATTACATGGCACACATATTTGCTCTGACATAGAGGTGTGCAGAGGCTGCCTAAAGGAGAGGCAGGGTTAGGGTCCACATGACAGCGACATAAGGTGTTGGTGTACTGGCAGCTTGATTTCAGGCTGCCTTATCCCTTCTGGTATAACAGAATTATAGAATAGTTTGGGTTGGAAGGGACCTTAAAGGTCATGTAGTTCCAACTGCCCTTGCTATGGAGAGAGACATCTTCCACTAGGCCAGATTGTTCACAGTCCTCTCCATCCTGGTCTTGAACACATCCAGGGATGGGGCATCCACAGCTCCTCTGAGCAATCTATGTCAGTGTCTCACCACCCTCACAGTAAAGAATTTCTTCTTAAAATCAAATTTAAGCCCACCCTCCACAAACCCTGTTTGCATCCAGCTTGGGCAGAAGCACCACCTTGCCTTGAGATACTGCAGAGCTGATCACAACCATATTTTAACCAACTGTGGTTTGGAGATGAGACTGCTCTGTCCTGGAATCACTCAGCGTTCTCCCCTGTCTCTGTTCTATATCCAGCAAGCTAAATTATGATGATAACTTTTAAGTAATGCCACACAATGAAAGAGTTTCCTCTTAGTGCAAGGAACACAAGGGATTGATAAAAGATACAAGGGTTTTGATCTCTAGTTTACCAGCTAGAATTAATGAAGAAAAATTTTTTTGATCTCTGAATTTTTTGATCTCTACATTAGGTTTTATTTTTAAGGTTCTTTTCTTTTTATTATCTGTAGTTTACCAGATAGCACAAATGAAATTCAACCAAAAAGAGATTGGTAAGGGCATGCATGACATGTTGCCATCCCACCTGGGCTGATACATCTGCTCAGGGGGTTTTGGGCAGCCCTGGTGTGTGAAGATTTCAAGATGTTGAGAGCTCATAAGGCAGATGTGCATTTCAGAGGAAAAGCTATACTTACACACACTCAAAGGAGTATATTTAAGGCATTTATTCACAAAACATATCCTCTCCTTACCTAACTCTCTGCAGATCAAATTTTTATATTAACTCCAGGTGAGCTCTAGAAACATTACAGACTGCTTTGCATTTGCACCTCGTGGCACACTGATAACTTGCAGGTAAAGCTGGGACAGAAGGTACCTCTGGCAGACTACAGTGAAACAAAACAATCCTAGAAAAATCTAAGCAATGCCCTGAGTAGAAAATGTATTCCAACTTAGATTAAAAAAAAAACAAAACTATGTGTAAAAACTCTGTTCTGTCCCAAATATTTAATCGAGATTTGAATTATTTTCTGAGCAGTGGAGGTGACAGATACAGGCAGGGAAGGTCAAGTGCTAGCAGAGGGCACTCAGGGCGTTACCTTGGTTGCTGTCCATGTCCATGGTCTGGCCGGTTGGATCCTGTGAGCTCCCATTTCCCATGGGTTTTGGGGGCTGGCCGCCGGCGGAGGCAGCGTGAGCCAGCTGGGGAAAGGGCCCGGGGAGGTGCGGCGGGGGCGGCTGGCGAGGGTGGTAAGGCACACCCGGCGGGCACACGCGGGAGGACAGCTGCTGCATGGCGATCATCTCCGGGCTGTCCAGCATGGAGTCCCCGCCCTGGCACCCTCTTTGAACATGAGGTGGTCCCCCAAAGAGAGCGGCCGGCGGCTGCGGCATCCTCTGACCGGCGGCTTTGCCGGGCGGTCGCATGTACCCTGAGGGAGGCACCCCGTGAGGTAGGAAATTTGATTGCTCGCTCCACTGGCTGGGAGGCAGCGGCGGCCTCATGGCCCGGGGGTCCATCATGTGCCCCAGGATCCGGGGCTGGAGCGAGGGCCCCGGCCCCATGGGCGCCTTCTCCTCCGGCCCCACGGCAGCCTGGCCAGCGGGGCCGTGGCTGCCGTTCCACAGGGCTGGGTGTGCGCGGTTCAGGTACTTGTAGGGCCGGTACATGTGTGCTGGGGGGACCTCGGAGCCCTCCGGCGGCTTCCCCAGGGGCCCGTTGTGCCGCGGTGGGAGGAAGGCCTGCTGGAACTGAGCCGGTGGGTAGATGGCGTCGGGTGGGGGGCCGCCCACGCGCCCCAGCTGCAGGGAGCCCAGCCGGGGGCCCAGCCCGGCCGCGTGGGCAGGCGCCGCGCACGCCTGCTTCTCCGGAGTGCCCAGCCGGTGCCCGCGGTGCTCGCTCAGTCCCACGGCCGGCTGAGGAGAGAGGGAGGGGGGTCTCAGCGACAGCCATGGCACCTGCAGCGCCTGGGGTGCTGCACCCCTTTGGCAGGAGGGGCTTACCTGCATGGCAAAGTGCTGGTGCTGCTGGACCGGGTCTCCGGGATGGGGCTCGGGCACTCGCGGAGAGCCGTACAGTTTGGTGGGGTCGGATCCACGCAAAGGGCCAAAGGCTCCTGGCACCGCTGGTCTCTGAAGGATGGGGAGGGGTGCAGGGGGGGAGAAATAAAACAATCTGTGAAGTGCATAAAAGCAGCAGAAATACTGCAGGTGAGGGGAAGCCAAGGCTGGAGTAACCACACAAGTAAGCAGCCGGAGTCTTTTGGAGGTACTGTGGAAAAGCTGTACTCTCTTCTACGAGGTGACACAGCCTTATCAAAGCCACTCAACCACACCTGAGCCACTCATCCCTGAGCTAAAGTTTGCAATACACTCCCTTGCCACCCTATACTGGGGAGCAAGAAAGAAGACTGGAGGGGGCAGTGGTTTGCTTCAAGAAGAGGAATGGACCACAAGAGCATGGAAGCACGAAGACAACAGGGAATGTGCTGGATTTCCTTCAAAATACTCAATGCCTCCAGCTCTCCTACGACCTCCCACTATCTGCAGCACAAAAATCACTCTAAAAATTTTGTTTGATCTCTAAGGACAATGGATAGCCCAGACCCCAGGGGAACAGCAGATACACCACACCACAAGCCATCACTGGTTAAAATGGAAAAAGCAGTGAAGGATGGGTAAGGAATGGCTCAGAAGGGAGGCAGAAGAGAGGTGGCATTCAGAGAAGAAACATGGGGCTAAAGATAGGTCACTGCTGCAGTCCAGGGTGGCCTTTGTTTGATTTAGTTTACGGCTTTTGTAAATACTCAAGCACAAAATGCAGTAGTACACAGATGGCACGAAGTTACCAGGCATCTGTAAACAATTGAGACAAAAGAAGACCAGATTGTTGAGCTCCATAAACTGGGGGATAAGGGAAGAAATGTTACAGCTTTCCATGCACACTGGGGTTAATCTCCAAGGAGAGAAGAGAACTGGGGGAATCAGTTTGTGCAAGCCTACAGTGGGACATGCCAGCCATGGGAAACATTAGGAGATTATCCCCACCTAATGTGGCAAAGACTTAAATTTCACCAGTTTAAATCTAAGGGCTGAAAGGTTTCACTTGGAAGAACCATAGCTCTGACCCTTTATCTCTGGGAAAAGGTTCCTGACATGCACTAAGGATTTCACGGTAGGAAGTTTCATTCCCCCTTCCCCCTCTCCCTTGTCCTGATGGGCAAAGGACAGCAGGAACTGCTCCTCACCATCTGTCCAGGATGTGGCACAGGGCTGGGCATGCCGCCGTACTGCAGGGAGCGGGGGAAGCCTCGCCCGTTGGAAGGGCCCACTTCTCGAGCAGTCTGCATTGGGTTGCCACTTGGGTCATCTACAGAGGACGAGGAGAAGGAGGAGGAAGAGGAAGAAGAGGAAGAAGCAGGAGCCCTGGAAGTAGCTCGATATGGTGGAGGTTTTCCTCCATTTTCCAGGCGTTGCTGTCTCTTGCCAGGCCCATCTGGGTCTCGTGATCGAGTCCACACACTGCCTGTGCTGGAGCGGCCGGTCCGCCGGCTTCTCTTCTCTCGTCTCCCGTCCTCTCTGATCCAAAACTCCTCATCTGTGTCTCCCTCTTCCCCAGGGAAGTGCTTCATCATCGCTCGGTGGAAACACCTCTCCAAGTTGTAAGCCATCTTTGTATATTCTGCAGTCAAAAACCCTCAAGAATGTCAGAGACTCATAGAGAGAAGCAATTAAGCAATTATGCAACATTGGATAAATCATCTCCCCTCTGCCAAATTTCTCCAAGGAAGACTTTAGTTTCTAACTAGTTGGCTTTGGCTCCTAAACTGCATAAGCAACACAGCATCAGTTCTGTTCAGTAACCCCACCAGAGGACAGGCACACAGGCATGACAAAGTACCACTGGCAGCAGGGCCTGCAGAGTCAGCATTAACTCAGTGTTCCAGCCTAGTGCCAAGAATTACATTAGGAGAGCACCACCTCTGCTCACAGAGATGTGTGACCTGCACAGTTAGCCAGCAGGAGTGCTGAGAGAAGAAATGTGAACTTCCAGCAATGCTATTTGATTACTTTCAGAGGCTTTTCTTGGACTCGTTCAGATCTCTGCTGTGGGCCACAAGATAGAGGAAAATCAGCAAACACATTTATCTGTGTCGTTTCCAAAGCACTTGTTGACCCAGGCACTAAGGCTATTGCCAACACCAGCGTCCCCACTGCATCATTTCTATTGGACAGTTCTGCTGAGATGAGCTTTTACTTTTTGTTGAGTGGATAGGAAGGAAAAGACACATGAGAGGTGTTGGTAACAAGGCCTTGAAGCAAGTGACTTTCCAGTTGTTTCCACTAAACTAACCCTGAAGTTCCTTGAGGAACAGAGCTCTCCCAGTGGCAGTGCAGGTATGCTTTTACTTGCAGCCAACAGCAGCAAGCTGATTTGTTCTTAGTGTTGCACTCCCTTTCTCACCAGGTGTTGCTGGTGAGACAGTCTGCAGTGACAACCCACCATATGGGAACTGATTTCTTATCTAAGCAACACATAGACTTCTAATTGGCATGCCAATTAAAGCCAGGATTTCCCATTTGCACACTCATGTTGTTCCTTCAATAGCCAAGGAACCTAAAAACGACATTTTCCACCCAAAGGACAGGCATGGTTCACTCCTCACTTTCCTGTGGTACTCAACAAACACTGGGAGTTAACAAGACTCCAATGTTTTTCAAAGTCTGTATTAGTATGAGGAAGAGGGGCACACAGGCACACATAAACACATGAAGGAATGAGCTCAGAAAGAAACAGACTCTCCTCTCATTGTGTGTTCTGCCTTCACCATCTACCAGCATGCCATGCTTAGTATGCCATGCCCCAATTCAGCATGACCAAACAGTGCTAAAAGCCTCACTAAAACTCAATGTAGGTCTCAGTAATTATTACCATTTTATCTGGTCTCCCAAAAATAATTTGAAAGAGAAGAATCACAAATCAAGTACTGGTGGGGAGGAAGAGGGCACTGCTTGCTTTGGCTGAGCACTGCAAATAGACAAATTTAACATTTTACTGCTCTTACCACTGCCTTCACCGTTGTACTTAAGACAGTTCCTGAACATGGTCTTCATATCACCCACAAATTCATCCTTGGTGCAGTACTGACCTCCATTCAACTTCTTCTCCATGCTAGATATATCCATGGGAGCCTGGAATAGAACCAAATTTCCTTTCAGTTACAGAAAGCATAGTGGAGCTTACAAAGTTAGAGCTCAGAGAGGACATGGGCAGCAGAGGATGCTCTCCAGAGAGGCAGCCATCCATCTTTGGTTTTCTTGATTTGTAAGGCTAGAAGGGACTGCCAGAATCATGGAGATCGACTGTGAGAGTAATACAGCCCATCAAACTTCAAAACATTTACAAAAAACTGCATCCCAGTCAACCAAGTGCATCAGTCGAGATGGCTGGGCCACTTTCCATACCTTAATGATCTGATAGTAGTTGGGAGCATATGATTCATCAACGGGCTCCAAGAAGGGCCAAGAGTCCTTGTGAGCCTTCACCACATCTAGAACTGGCGGTAGCAAGAGAAAGGTGCATGGTTACACTCACACACACAGAGAAATATTTCATTTTGAGAAAGCTGGGGTGGGACTAACCTTTGTACATGGCTGTGAACTCATCGTCCAGTTCAAAGCTGTAATGGGAAACACCACAGTGAATATGCAGACTGAGGATAGACAAGACATGCTCTGTACTTCATCTCCTCATCCACCCATGCAGTGCCATAATGCTGGCCAATAGGCCTCCTCACAAACACTCCTCTCATATGGGCCAAACCCACATGTCTCTCAGCTCATTCCTCTCACTGTTCTCCAACCTCACTTCTCCCTCTGCACTCCTGTGAATGATCACACTCCTCTCCTTGCCATACTTACTCTGCTTCAATACACTTGTGTGCTGCAATACCCCGTTGTGTACTCACATGTCCTTGGTCCTTCGCTCTTCCCTGGCAGGGGAACTGGGATCCAAGTGGGAAAGCTCAGGGGGAAGCTCCTTCCCCTGTGCCAGGAGCCAGGCCCGCTCTTCACGAAGCTTCCTCCTCCTGGCCCGTTCTGTAGTGGAAAGACATGAAAAACCATTCAGCACACTTTGCCCACATTTTGCAGGGAAACAGAAGGTGCCCCTGAGCTCTCAAGAGCTCCAGTGAGTCTTGTTCTTTCAGCAAAAACAGCAACAGCACAGGAGCAGCTGAGGTGAGAATACAGTGCATCATCAACACGCCTCATCCTCCCTTGGTTACAATCACCAATTTTGAAGCCCCACTGTGACAACAAGTGCTGCCTTAAGCAACTTCCAGAAGTGGAGTGGCACAAAGAGGGAAGTTCAACCAGCCCTAGGCACAGCTCAGCACTGTGGAAAGAGCTGGCTTGTTGTTATCTTCCTTTAGGGGCTTCATCTCAGGCAGCTGAACTTGAGGCAGCTGCCTTTGCACAGCATGGGATGAAGAGCAGTGCTGAGGGAGGGAAGTTCTACCAGCTGAGTGGCAATGAGAACTGGGGTTATTATTATCTTCCATGGCTGTCTTTGGGAAGATTGCTCAGGTAGGTCTTCATGGCCAGCAGCCAGAGCCAGCAACTTGCCACACACGAGGGCCACTGGGACAGCTTTCGTTTAAAGAAGTGAGGCACAGGAAGAAGCAATGCTGGTAATATAACCTGTAGTTTGCAACCAGACAGCTGGCTAACAGATTGCTTCATAATAGAAAGTTTATGAGTTCTTATGAACCTCATTTCCTTTTTCTTATAGGAAATCTGAATTCATTTGACTTGTGAAACACCTGTGGTTGGACCAACCTTTTGCAGGAGCAGAATTCTCTCAAAGTAATGTTCAGGGAGATATGTCACAGGAACAGCCCATGCCAGGGAACACCCAGAGTGAAGAAAAGATGAGGGAGACTTGGCTAACACCCTCTAGCAGAGGCTCTGCCTTTGAAAAATGCCAACTACTGAAGAGATACCAGCTCTGGTGGAGAAATATTTATTAAAGTCCTACTCTGTCAGTCAAAAATAAATTTTGGATGGAGGTTGAGAGCACAAGAAAAGTAGGAATAGCTATGAGGTGAGTGTTTGTAGGGACATTCATTGGCAGAGATGCCAAAGACTGGTAAAAGAAAGTCCAAATTTCTCGTTAAAACACTCAGCGTAGCACTGAAGTTTGGATTATAGGAATTGCATCTAAGATGTCTGACAGAATCTAACAGAATTGCATGACCAGAAGTCCAACATCCAATTTCAGGGAATGGAGAATATCTGAGTCTGTCCAAGCACTGTTCAGAGTTCATGCTTCTTTCAAAAACATTGCAATCCTTAGATGGCATTGCAAAGGATGCCCAAGTAAGAAAGCTGAGGAGAACATGAAGTGATTGTTTGGGCAGCAAAGGGAATATCAACAGCAGCCAAGAGGTAAAGATGATGTAGATTTTAGAAATCCACCAACATCTGCCAAGGATCTAAACCTGGTAAAAAAAAAAGGAGTGCCACCCTGGTACCAGATCTCAGCTAGGATTATTAGTAGGAGCCTCTACCACAGCTAGTGATTAACAAAGTGTGTTCAAGATCACTGGCAGAGCTCATTCTCATACTGTTTGCCTGGGTCGAGTCCTACCCAGCAGCTTTCAAAATCTAAATAATGCCCTCAAAAGTACCTCAACCAGCTAGAAAGTCATATATGTGAGAGATTATGTTGAAGCAGCACCTGGAAAGACAACTGGGAAACTAACCTGATATTGTGGTAGAAATCTAGAAATCTGCTTTAACTTATAAATTCAGGAGAGTACAGATGGGCCCAGCAGGAAACTTGCTGCCTGGGGTGTGTGTTGGAGTTGGGGGAAGTGTAATCTCAGGCTGGAAACAGGAATGTGATGTTAAAACAGGAATACTATCCAAAACTTAGAAGAAGGTGAAATTCACCACAGAGAAGATATTTCACATCTCCCCTCTACAGAAGGCCATACAAAATTAATATTATATTCCAAACAGACTGAAAATTAGAAGAAAATCTTTGTTACCCTAAAATTTCTCGTCAGATGCCCAGTTTTAACAAGTATGAACCAAGTAAAACAATGTAATTTTCAAGTCATTTCCCCTCCATCATAAGAACTGTCATGACAGCAAATGCTAGTGGTGGGTGTGCTTGACACTAAGAAAAGATCATTAAGAAGCTAATTTTACCTGGAGAGCTGCTGGTTCTAGGAATAAAAAATATTGTAGTGATTTATTTAACTGAGCAAGTCAACATAACCTTTGCAAATAGCTTTTGCACCAGCTTAAAAGAAGACTTCTCCTGACTAAGCATAAATGGACTAGAAAAGAGTTTAAACCCTTTTAAGTGAAAGAAACTGCACAAAACAAAATTAAAGCACTAGTGCCAATAAAAGCAAGAATGTATGCTAACTTGGCTTAAAAGAGGCTACTGCTCAACCTCACGCCAGTTTCTTTGCACGGCTCTGGTGCCTTTGAATCCAATGATGTAATGATTGCATTTACCCAGAAAAGGAAGTGGCTTATACCAAAATAAAGCCATTTTACAGGAACATTTATCTTTGCAGCTCTTGTGGAACTTCAAGACTAACTTTGTCTATAAAGATGAAGCATTAAACCACAGAGAATATGCAATTTGCCAAGGGAAGCAGATATCTGTGGCAGATATTGAAGCTGGATGAGTCTCAATTTAAAGCACCTGATTAGCTAGGACTAGCAGCCAGGAATACAGGAAGGCCAAGGAAGTAATTGGTTTTTCTAATGGTTAGAAAGGTAAGCAGGTAAAATAAGCTATTCTTAGATAATATCTGGCCTCCTACCAAACATCTGGTAGCAAACTGTTTCATTTTGGAAAGTTTACAAGGTTTGCATGAGCTTAATTTATTTTTTTTTCCTTTTCTGATTCTTTATCCACTTTGGGACTCATGATACCGATACTGTCCCACATTGCCACAGTTTTCTAAGGATGTTCAGCCTTTCTGTGGAACTACAACAGCCCAGTCAGTCACTGTGGCTAAAGCAGCAACTAAGGCAATCCCCCAGAAGGGAGGCAAACAGACAGAAGGTGGTCAGAAATGAGCTTACTCTGACACCCACACCTACATATACTCGCTGACTGCCTGCTGTCTGTGCCTTGATCTGATGTATTCAACACAACCTGGCTGTTTGTTCCAGAACAGCTTAAATCAACATTTACTTCATAACCACAAACATTTTAGACTAACACCTGGAATTGCCACCTCTGGTGCTCTATGCAGCCTGGTCCCTTCATCTTTAGTTCTCCTATTGGTAAGGCCGGCAGCAATATAAAATTATTACTCTTGCTACTCCCATGTTATCCCATTCCCTTTCTCCTCAAAAGGAATTCTTTCATCATGCATTGGGCCAAAAGAACCAAATGCTATCCCAGTGAGAGCAAAGCAAGCTAATCCTGCACACAGGGAAATCACGAGAAGGCAAGTGGGGAGACAGAACTGAGAAACAATATGACTAGCAGGAGAAAAAAATTTGACAGCTGGGCCAAGGAAGAAAATCAGCACGATTTGAAGAAGACAACACATTCTAAAGGTACCCTAGGGAACAGCCACCAACACTGAGAGGACAGACAAAGGAAAAGAAAGTACAGTCAGACCAATTTATCAGAGGCAAGTGCAAGGAAAGATTCTCATTAGCAAGTCTGGCAGGGGACGAATACCAATGGCAGACTTAAGTTCAAGATCTCAGTCTTTACTTTGAAAGCTTCCACTCCTGCTCCACACTGGCTGCACGTTACCTTCCACTGCTTTGACCTTCTCCTCCATCTCCCTCTTCCTCTCCTCCTTTAGCAGCTGTTCCTGCTCCCTCTTCTGCACTGCTATAAGGATCTGGCGCTCCTCCTCTTCCTCTCTGCGCCTCTGCTTCTCCATTGAGCTCAGCACATTTGGGTTTACCTGTAACAGAATGATGCACCAAAAACTGTAATGGGGTGCCTCACTGAAAGCCAAGCAGAGGCAGGTTTACTTTGAGGAGGTATTAAAGCACACCTACAATGAATGATTGGGAGGAAAAAAAAGTGGAAAAAAAGGATTTGTATGTATGATTTCCTAGATGAAAAGGAGCATGGAAAGGGAAGTTATCTGCCAAGCAATGAAATCCTACTGATACAAGGACAATGGAAGGAGAAGCGATGGGTTAGACAAGCTGCCATTCTGTCAGGGATGCACCGTGCGCATTTCTCTTCCCTTCTGGGCAAAGGATGCAGGCTGTTGACACCCTTAGACAACACCTCTACCTCTTCCAGATAGCAGAGCTCTGAATGTAAGTGTGAGAAGGACTACTTTGCCAAACCTGTCTCAGCTGCAAAACACAGAATACTTCAATAAGAAAAGCGTCTGGTACAGCTTTGTGTCAAGGTATCATTAGGAATGTTTTCCTTTCCTGTTCAAAATTTCTGTGTGCTAATCTCCCCTGAACTGGCTCTCATTTGTTTGTTTGGACAGTTTTCCTGCTGGGTCCCAAAACCAGTTCTCTCATTCAAGGACACCTGGCCCTTTATTGCCCCACTTTCTCACCTCCCCACTGCCAGCAGGCTGCAAGGCTGTGTTTGATCCTACTTAAGACTGCAGGCTTCCCAGACCATTTCTCCAGTAAAGTATAAGGTATGCATATGGAAGTGTGGAATTATCTTTATTAGCTTAATTTAGTTCTAAGACAAATGTATCAGTCATCCACCAGCCACTCCTACCCTTGTGACCAAGATATGTGTGCTTTATCAGCAGGGAATATCAACTGGAAAAGAATATTGTACATACAGTTTGCTCCAACTTCATTTTCAGGGAATAACCAGCAACCACCACTTAGGCAGAAGGCATTTCCTGAGGATTAGCAATCAGCCGGGGTCCATTGGCTGCTGCTCAGACCATCAACTTCTCCAGGTCCATTATTAATCCCCAGGGCAAAAAAAAAAAAAAAATCTGGCACCACGATTACTATTTTGTCCTTGTTTCATTGCCCAGGAATGGGAACCTGGGGGTGTTTTGATGGACGCCTAGAAATGTTGTCTGGTTTCACTGCACGTTCATTCCCTCTCTGCCTCCCCTTCCCCTACACAGCCCTGTGCTGCCCTACAAACTCCCACTCCAGTTTTCTGTAGATGAGCACCATGCATGATCATCAGCAGAAACAATACATTAAGAGAATTATGCTTCAACCACCAACAGTCAGAGAGAAGTGTCCAAGAGAGGGTCATGAGACTCTTGAAAAAATTAGGACCATAACCTGCATTTAGGGACAGATTGGTCAATAAAACCCACCTATTCTGTGCTGATTCTTTAAGATGAAACCCAGAGCTTCATCTCACCATGACAGAACCAGTATTTTCCATTCTTTTCCATCTTCATCAAAATATTATCACTTCACTCGTCTATCCCTCTTCTAGGGAAATCATTCTGTGAGTTCAGGTGCCTTGAGATTAGCCAGCTTCTCCTCACAATCAGTTTGAAGTTTGTTTCTCAACGCCTCATTCCATCCAGTTATTCCTAGTTACGCTCTTCTGGGTGAACATAAATTCGCCTTTTCTTCAGTCACATTCCATTCTTTACCTTATGGACTTCCTCAGACACTTAGACAACATTCCCACATTTCTACAGTCAGATTAAATGTATTCTTATAAAGCAATCCTTTCAGCTCCTTGGAACGATTATTCCAGTTGTCTCTAAGACCTTTCCTCCCTGATAAATATCCAAACACCAGGATTGTGCTGTGACAAGGACAACAGGTCAAGAAACTAGAGAATTGGGTTCTATATTCCCACTTTTGATTCTTTTTATATCCCTTTCTCAAAAGCTCTTCCATCTGAATTGCTACTCATAAGCTGCAAACAACTTCCTTTCAGACCTGATCCTGACCACTGTCAGTTTTCCTCTGACTTTCCTGATAAAGCTTTAAATTGCAATAGGAACCAAAAGAGTCAGGTTCTGCAGTAAAGAGAAAGAGGTGAGCAGGAACCAGCCACCAAACTTGGTATGCCAAGATATTTTAATGAGGATGTGACCATCAGCCTTTATATTCTCAAACCAGTAGACGTAAGCCAGCCTGGCTATTAGGATTTCTTTGATTGCTGGTACAAAAGTGAGACCTTCCCTTTCCCTGGATTAATAAAAACTTCCACCATTCATGCTCTATGGAAACAGGAGCACAACATCCAAGCTGCAATGCTCACACCAGGACCTCTCCAAGCCTGCAGGGCACACTCAGCACCCTATGCTTTAATGGCATGACCCAGGATCCACAGCACGCTCCAGAGCAACACACTACACAAATATGACCTCAACAAAGCACTTTTAAACAAAGGAGATGGTGTCTTCCTACCAGATCTAGAAAGCAAAGAAAAGGGAAAAGCAGAAAGCACAAACACAGTGTAGTGAGCCACAAGGACTGCAGTAGACACCCACAATTGCACTTACATCCTGCAGCACTTGCAGGGCAGCAACAGTGCTGCACGGGCTGTTTGAGACACTTCAGACACAGAAACAACCTGATTTTCAGAGGCACCTCTGCCTGGTGTCCCACCTAAGTCCATGAGTGTGCTCAACTCAGGGGTAAAAAAATACACAAACATGAACCAGTAAACTCCTACTGGATTGGTGGGAGCAGACGCTTATTGGAACGACAAAAGCAAGAACCAAGCACAAGTAAAACTTCCTTCCTGACCACGGAGGTGGCAAAAGGACGCTTCTCCAGCTTCCTCCCTGCTCAGAGGATAAATACCACAGCGACCAAGGCATCACCGTCTCCTTCCCTCCGGCAGAGAGCACTCCAGGACACAACATCGCTGCTGTCCCCTGGCCCTGGCACTCTGAAAGAGCCAAACTTCTGCCTTTAGCTCTGCTCTCCAGACACTGGGTATCAGACTTCAGGGGCAGAAGGCCAGAAGGCGCGGGTGCCCTGAGTGCCCTGGCCCCTCATCCGCCAAACCTTCCCTGCTCAGGTTTCCTCAGCGCTCTCCTAATGAGGGTGCTGCTCAGGAGGCTCTTAATGAGGAGCTAATCTGAACCACCTGTTGAGAAATCCCCTGCAGGATCAGGAGCCCATGGAGCAGTTAGTTACATCTCCAACTCAAGCAGCAGCCGGGAGAAAGAGGTCACCTGTACTGGGGCTTGAAGTTTTCTCCCCCAGGCTCACTGGCTGCCCACCCTGGCTTGAGGAACAAGCCATCAGACATGCTGGCACCTTTCCTGGCTGCCCCATGGCAGGGATGGCTGCCACATCCTGCTGGGGAGCAGTGTGAGCATCAGCTCGCTGGTGCTGGCTGGCTCCCTGTGTCCCGGCACAGCGGGTGCCAGGAGGGCCCCCTACTCGCTGGAAACGTTTCACTGGCCCACAGGCGGCAATTAACAGCCCTCTGCTGCTGCAGACCTGGAGCACCTGCGGTACTGATTAGCATCATTCAGGCTCCATGTGTTTCCCACTCCCCTGCTCCTCTGGGATTTCTGCTGCCTGTGAACAAACACGTGTCCCTGTGCTTCCTGCATGGTGGGCTTTGCAGAGAGCAATTCTGGCCCCAAACTGACCATCACCGGGGTCTTATTTTCCTCTCAGCATGCTTTTATCTGCAGCATGATGAGAGGTTCTTCCTTCCTTTTATTCATCTGTTTCTAAGTAATTACATTTATTACATGGGGACCTGTACTTTTTCCTTTGTTTTGGGGGAACCCCTGACTCTAGCTCACATGGCATATTCCCTGCAGCCTAATTTCCCTGGGTTTGACAAAACACCAGGTAACTACGTTTCCATTACATCTACAGTGAGAGATTATGCCCCAGCCTGATAGAATTGAGACAATTTTTTCCTCCGAAGCTAATCTGGTGTTGTCTGACCGATTGCTTTGGGCAGCAGTTGCCAGTTCAAAGACCCCCCACCTCCATGGCCCCGTGTCCCCGCCTGTGCCGGCGTGACTGTTAGGGGCTGTGTGGTGAACTGGATTGGAAAACTGATCTATGTTAAAAATAACCCCGACCAAAGAAAAAGGTTATATTTAACTCCAGTCATTTTCCTGGGTCTGGTTCACTGCACAGACCCTCAAGCAGCAGCAGTGCTGTTGCACTGATGGGGTAGAGAGGAGATGAGGGTGTGGAGGCACGGAAGGCCTTTCTTTAAGTAGCGTAAATTGTGACTTCCATTTCCAGCTGACCCCCTCCTAGCTTAGCCCCATACTGCATCAGTCATTCTCTCCCTCACCGCTATCTACACCCTCATGTGTTTGCAGCCTCACGTTTTCCCCTTGGCTGAATTTCTGTCATTTCCCTTTGTAAGCCGGTTCTTCTAGCCCTCTCATCCTTCTTCAACTTTTCTTTGAACTGCCTCGCATGTGCCAGCACTTTCATTGAAGTGGAATTCCCCAGACTGAGCGCAGATTTCCATATGCAGCTGCAGCGGGGTCTGCGGCGAGAGAGGCCGGTTACCTCTGCGATCCAGAGGGCAGCACCTCCCTGCTCGCCATAGAAACCCCGGGTGTCAGCCTGCCTTTGACAGGCATTACCACCCATCTCTCTTTCAGCGCAGGCACTTTCAAGCGACTCCTTCCCACTGAATGGCGATGCTGTGGTTTATTTCTTCCCCCAGGAGGCATCTGCTCTCGCCTCCCTCCTTCGTCCTCCCCCTCGCACCCCCCCTCACCTCCTGCTTGATTGGTTTGATGGGCTGATGGTCAGACATCCACCTGGGAGAAAACTCTGTCCGCTGCAGACGCTTCTCCTGAAACAGGGTTGAGAATTGAGGGAAGGAAAAAGAGAGTGGAGGAAATTAGGGCACATCGGTGACACTGGCAGGAGAAACTCTGAGGGCTAGAAGTGACCATGAAATCCCTATTAGCTTTACAAGGGTAGCAAACAAGCAAACTGAACTCAATCCAAGAACATCACGCTGACTGCAGAGCCTGTTTTACAGAGCCATCTAGCCGAAGGATCCCTTTCCAGATCTGTCCCACCTGGAAACGTTCAGCTGATGGACAACACCCTTCAGAGTTTTGGGGCTCTGATGTACCAGCTCAAAGCAGACTTAGCTAGGACAGCTAAATCTGCCCCTTCAGCAGAGCCAGCAGAGAAACGGCAGTAAAAGTGGAATCACAGGCAGTTTGCATAGAAAAGCCAGGCTGTAAATCGAAGCAGTTCAAAAGCACAGAGATCCCCTGCTAGCAGGAAAGGGCCACAGAACATGGCTGAAGACAGTAACCCCTTCAGCTGCCCTACCTACGCTGCTGTGCAAGAACCAGATCCACAAGCATCGACTCTAGCACTGCCACTGCATGGGGGAAGAGTCTTCCCCCCATCCACAAGCTCAACAGCCCCAACATCCATGACACTTGCAGGCTGTAGGTGCAGGGAGCAGGCTGACAGGCTGTTGGATTTAGCTCTTCTTCACTCAGCAAGCGTCCATGCTCTTGGAAGTGGTCAGAGAGAGGTAAACAGGATGTCATGTCTCCTCACCTTCTGTGCAATCATGTTGCAGATCTCCGGCAGGAAATCTTCACTCAAGAGTTTGTAGAGCTGCCTCTCTCTAAGGGAAGTCCTCTCTCTGAAGCTCTCTGTGACCTGCCTCCACTCCTCTTCCGTCTGGCACAGCAACCACCATGTCCCACGGCCAGGCCCTTGGGACCCTTCAAAAACATGAAAGGATGTTATCTCCACAGCAGTTATGACTAACAGCTCCTCTCAATCCCTTTTCTTCTCTCCTCAGGGCTCAGGAAGAGCAAAAGACATTGGCAATGGCCACAGTTACGGAAAACATTCCATTTGCTATAGAGCCAAAGCTCTCTTCATGCACCAGAAGCACTGCTACCTCTGAGAGTGATGCCAAGATAGAGGAAGTACACAGGTGAAGAAATAATGGTGCCACATGGCAACACACAGGTAGTGTGGCATCTCTGTAGCAAGCCCACATTCCAGTAATTGCAGACTGGAGAAAAGAATTCAATTTGTTTTTTGTAATGGCGGCTGTCAGCCAGAGCAGGACATAGGGAACTGCAAATGTCTGATTTAGTCTGGCAGCAGAATAAAGTCATCAAAAAATAATGTAATTTGAAATAAAATTAAAAAAAAAAAGTACTGCAAACCATTTCTGCAGGGAAACAAATCCTCCTGCTCCCTGCAAATGAAATATTTTGTTTGCAGGCACTTGAAAGAGTAGAAGAGGAAGCGAAAGACAAGGTTCATCAGGCTGCCAGATGAGGGGGAAGTTCCAAAAGTTCACATCCCATCCCTTCTCCATCCAGAGTGGGATTGAAGCAAATCAGCCACTGCTCTGAAGCATGTCTCAACCACCAAGACAGTTTGAGAGCTGTTCCACCTTGTATGAAACATTTGAATATTAATTGTGAAGGAAGGGCTCTCTTGCACTGTGGTCAGAACACCCACCTGGAAATACGGAATGTGGTTCCCTCTCCACAAATGTTTATACAGAGCAGGGAAGCCTCATGGGTATGCTTTCGCCCCAGGATGCTCTCTGAGCAGAAAAAGGTTGTTGCCCTTCTTTTTTTTTTTTTTTTTTGGGCAGTAGGGAAAGTTTTGGATCAAACACCTTCAGGCTGAGGGGTTCTCAGCTCCCTCCAGAGTTTTCTAGGGCTAACCACTGGCTCCCGGAAAGAAAGCAATGGTTATCACCATCACTGGCAGATGTCATGCACCTTCTGACCACATTTTCAAGCAAACTAACAATGAGAAACAAAAAGAAGTAAAAAAGCTGAACCTGACTCTGGGCCCTTCGTGGATCTGAGCTGCAAGTGGCTCTGACATGCAAGCTATCAGGTCATCCTAGAAAGGCTGGAAAGCTGCAGGTTCCCTCCAGCACCTGCCCTCCATCACTGCCTGGTGCAGTGGCATAGAGTTTCAGCTCTGTGAGTGCAGTGGGGACTGGTAACTGAGACAGCAAAGCTCCAGCCATGTGCTGGTTCTGCTGCTCTGGTTATGCAAAGCCACCTATCCCTTGCCCAGCTGCAGCAGGGAGCTTACCTGCATCTTGCCCCCAAAGCCTGCATCCTTGTTTCTCATTCCCTTGCCAGCTGCCCATGGACAACTCATTTCAATAGCAAACAGGGCTAAGGCACTGCTTTGTGCCAGCAGAAGATTACTCTGCAGCTGAAGTGACACAATTTGCTGAAGACAATGATCTGATAAAACCCCCAGCGCCTCATGCAGCATCGCTCCGGCTCTGCCACCCGGCTCCGGAGAAGCTGGAGTGGCCGCCAGGAAATCTGAAGACAAAGGGCAAATGGAAGGAGGCATGGGAAAGACAATGCCACCCTTGCCTTTTATTGTGAGGCAACAGGCAGGCTGAGTCCCTGGGTTTTGAGGAAGCCAGTGGATACACATGTATGACAAATGAGTCCCAGCTCCCTTGAACTCACTTTCACATCATGTTGCTAACTCGTTTTTTGCCTCGTTAACCCTTAGCTGGGTACCCTCAAGACATAGTTTACCACTCTCAGCCACCCAATGGCCACAAGGAAGGAAAAGTGAGAGGATCAAAAAGGTTCTTCCTTCCCTATCTTAGCATCACTGACTCTTCCCCATCTGAAAAAACACACCTGCTAAGAAGAGGGGTGTGTTTTTACCTTACTCCTGGGAGACTGAGGACCATTCACAGCCTGCTTTTTCAGGTGAGCCCTTGAATTCCAGTGTATCCCAGCAGGTTAGGTTTCTTCATCCCAAACTCAGCCATGACAAAATAGGAAGCCTGCAGGTGCCCAGGCTTCAAAATGCCAGGCACTCTGTAACACAAACCCTTCCTTCCAAACTTGGCCCCAGGCACCAGCAGAAAGACTCTCCTGAGAAAGGCCAGGCTGTCTCTCAGGCATCTCTCTGGGTTTTGATAATTTAAGAGCCTTATTAGTGGGTGGTATCAACCCTAATACTAAAATCTCTTTACCATTTCTTATCTGAGTCTCGTGGATAAGCAAGCTTTCTTCTGCCTTCTCCCTACCAAAAAAGAAAGAGAAGGAGTGATACAATAAGGACATCACATCACCAAAATGCAGCTTTTTCTGAGGAGAAGAGTAGGGCACACCGCAATTATCCAGTGCAGAGCAAAACCATGAAAAGAACTCTAGAACACACACATTTGAAACGTATTTTCGAATATATATTTATCACAGCTTCCTAAAGTTTTTATAAGTGAAGGGTGCAGGATGAAATTTGGCAAGTAGAGTATCTCAGTCCTTAAGGGAAGTATTCCAAAATATATATGGACTCAAGTGGCCAGGTTTTCTGGTTTCAAGCCACAAAATAAAAGTAATCTTTATCAGGACCAAATTCCCTAGCGCCACATGGTGGAACTGCATTTGAAGCGAGGTGGTTGGAAGAGTGATGCTCACTGTTTCACAAACTTCCAGCTCAGTCAGAATTTGCTTTGGAGAGTAATCAAAGCATCCACCAAGTCTGAGCTTGCTTAACTTCTGAATTGCATTGAAATTTTGGCTGCATGGTATATACATAGTTATTGGGGGAACCCCAGAAATACATTATACTTCCCTCTGGGAATGTATGTATTTTATGTCTGTTGCAGGAAGTACCCTTCCATACCTCAGCAAATTTTCCTCCAGTAGTTTTTTCCGCTTTGGAGGTCGCCCTCGTCTCTTGCCTGTTTTCCCAGGAACATTTGGGGTGTTCGTCTGCCCCCCACATCCCCTGAAAAAGGCAAAACCACCATGAAAGATCTGTCGAGCAAGGGAACCGAGGCTGGCAGGATGCGAGAAGGGCACGGAAATCGGAACAGCTGCTAGGATCCCAAGCAAAGGAGGGATTAAATCAGAGCAGCAACAGGACGGGGAGGGGAGAGGAGGGATTCCCACTGGCTGGGAGCCTGATCTGGGAACGGTGCAGGGCAGACAGGCAGGAATGCGGTGGGGCAGGCAGCATCGCTCCCACAGCAGGCTCTGCCGGTGCCACAAAGGCTGCAGGCTGCCTGCGACACAATGCGTGGCGCGGGGCAGCTCCCAGTCTGCTTGGCAACTCCGGTCCCGCCCGCGCTGCCCCTCTCCAGGCCCCGCTCCCCCCGGGGGGGGCACAACAGCAGTCAGGCGGAGCCCCTCCAGCCCCCCTCGCCCCTGTGTGCGTGGGCCATTACCTGTCTGGAGCCAGCTCTCCGTTGGGTTTGCCCTGCACCGGGTCCTCCTTGTACATCCGCGTGCCGTAGAAGTACCAGTACAGGGCACCGCTGCTGTCCTCGCCCAGCGGCTCCACGCGGAGGCTGTCGGCGTCCAAGCCCTGTGCCCACCGGGAGCCCCCCGCCAGACGGGTGACAAGTTGAAAAGCGGCCACATTGTCACACAAAACATGATGACACCCCTCCGTAAACACCTCCCTCCCTCCTTCCCTCCCACCATGCCACAGCAGCAGTACAGCTGCTCCTCCCAGCCTCAGAGCTGGGAAAATGTTACTCCAGGGGGAAGATGACGTTCTCTCTCTGTCCAGGGAGGGATTTAGATTGGCATCTCTAATTTGAATGGCCTCTCTCGTTTTAACATTTCATCTCTGGTGCTCCTGACAGGGAAGGTCTAATTAGTGCTGGCGACAGTCACCAGTCACGCACAGCCCTGAGAAGCTCCCTTCCCCCATCCCCTGCTCTACCCTCCCCCAGCTCCCCCAGTATACTTCATCCCCATCCTTTCATCTCACAGCATCCCTCAGCAAGGCAGCAGTCTCTGCTCTCATGGCCTTGCCATTACCATTAAAACATCCCCAAATTCACTCTTCTTTGCAGAAAGAGTAGCCAATCGAGCCAACTTCCTTAGTGACTCCCATGTTAAGAATACATCCACACAGGACAAGGGCCCAAGTTCTGAGCAAGGCAGAAGGGGGCAAAGGGACCTGCTGACCCACTGTGACCCCTTCTCATCCCAGGAAGATTCTGATCTGGCCCAGCTTCTGTGGCCACACAGTTTCCCTCATCCCTACTGCCCAAAGCACCTTGAGGAGGTCAAAGACATCGTCTGCATCGAGGCGGTAGTCACAGAGGCGATGCAGGATCTCCACCCGTGTGCGCAGGGGCAGCTCCTGGAAAGTGCACTCCCGCAAAGGGTTGGGCTTCCCTTCCTCCAGCTCCCAGCGGTAGTTGATGATGTCCTCCAGGTAGCTGTGAAACGTCTGGGATCTAACCAAGGAAGAAAAAAAATCTCACACACTACTGTAGTTTGCCATGTTCAGAAACACTTGGTACACCAAGCAACTGCAACTAACACAATGCAGAGACAAAGAGCACCTGGAGGAAAACTGTCGCCTATGGCTGGGTGCAGCTCTGTCATTCACATTCCCAAAACACAAAACACAACAATCTCATTGCAACATCATGGGATGTCATGTTATACACAGACAGCTTTTTATGCACAGACTGTTATTTCTTTCTAAGCAGAATGAGCCAAACATGGTAGCAACTCATCTCCTTTCTACCCCAATGGGCAATGCCTTGTGCTGGCATCAGCCACAACCCTTAACTAAAATGGGGTGCAACAAAATTTATGAGTCTGGTCCCCTTCCAACTCTTCTCATTTGATGTGGAGACCATTTTCTTTAGATATCCCTTTGCCCTTCACATCTGTCATTGCCAAGCCCTGCTCCTCTCCACTTCTAAAGAAGTTTTTCATGCCCCGGTTCAGTGGATTGAGACTTTGCATAGCTGATGGCTTCCTCCCCACTTTGCTGCTGTACGCTTCCCATATTCCTGTGGTGGTCCCTGGTCTCTTCTCTCTCCCCACCACAGGTGCTGCCACTTTCTTCCAGTTCCTCCATTGGTGGCTCTGGCAGGATGTCTGCAGTTCCACCTCACTCACCTGGCTTGGATGCTGCCACACAATAAGGCTCATCCCCAACAGGAGTGCACCTCCCAAAAGGAGTCAGTACAGAGGACTCCCCCATCTGTACTCTCTCAGATCATCAAGCTGAACACTTGAGCTCTTCATAAATATTGCTATTAAAATGATCTTTCCAATTTTCTAGCTGGGTCACATTAAGTCCTGCTTTCACTGCCAGCAGTTCATCATAAAACCCAAGGAAGCAGATATTTCTTACCCTCATCTAGCACTGAGAGCAAATGTCCCCATATGACACGTTTAAGACCACTTATGGAGCTTAAGGCTAAAAGAACTTCTGTCTATATTTCAAAGAGACTTAAGCCTTTATTCTGAATGCTCAAAATTTCAGGGGAAGGAATTTCAGTATAAGGGGCCATGTCCCTAAATATAAAACTTTCTGAGGATCTGTCCATATGACTTCGAGTCCTGAGAGTTGCCAGGCTTGCTCAGCCTGCTTGAGTTGTGTGCCCTGAGCACAGCAAAAGGGGACCCCCCCACCCCCCCCACGCCCCAGCCATTCTTGCACACACGGGAAGTCCATATGCCAGCAAGAACACCACTGGGTACACATTCCCACCAGCTCTCAAAAAGGCAGCTCCACTTGATAGGTTTTTGGCACAAGCAGATTACTCTATATGATTAATGGAACAGTGCCAGCACTACAGAATTGCATTTCCCTGAGAAATTGCTAACTTCTACAAAAGCTATTATATTTTAACAAAGAGGTGGAGGAGTGTGATCCAGCTGAAGAAAGACCATTAAAAGTCAACAAGCAGTTAGCTATTAGACAGGGGTCTTCACACATTTGGTAAAGACCAGACTTCTTTGCAAGGACCATGACTGGACAGTGACTGAGAGAATGAAGGAACAGATGCCTCAAACCATGTCCACCTGGCAGCATTTCCCTTCCTCCTTGAGTAGAAAGAAGTACAGATCACCCTGCAGATCACTCCTCACCAGCCTGCTCCTTTCTGACGTCAAATGCAAGCTGACCTCCCAGAGATATCTGCTCTCACCACACCAGTTACCAGCCCTCTAGTTGTATTTAACAGATGCTTGAGTGTACCTGGACCTAGAGCCCTCTGCAACCTGGAGTTTGCTCCATCTACATGACATAAGCAAAGCATTAGTGTTCCCAAGTGTTGTTGTTTCACTAATATCAGCAATCAAATACAACTTGGAACCGCCCCCTGTGCTGACAAAGTTCAGTCACAAAGGGAGAACTGACATTTTATTAAATGCCTCAAGTAGTAATTTAAGGGTGAAAACTACAGCAAACATCCTTTTTTAAAGTGAGATAGTCAGTACACAGTACACCTACCTGAAGTAGCTGTGCATTCCTGCATTGTCTTTCTCAAATACCCCAAGACCTAACTTCCAGAGAGGACTTAGATTTGGGAAAGGGGGCAAAAATAGATTCCCTTTACAGACTTTTTAAGAGTGGTATCTGATAATGTATCATAAATGTCAGATATTTACAGAAGCCATTAGACTAAAAGAAAAAAAAAAAGGAAAGAAGGAAAGAAGAAAGAAGGAAAGAAGGAAAGAAGGAAAGAAGGAAAGAAGGAAAGAAGGAAAGAAGGAAAGAAGGAAAGAAGGAAAGAAGGAAAGAAGGAAAGAAGAAGAAGGAAAGAAGGAAAAGCTTTGATTGTCTATCCAGAACAGAAATAGTGACTAGAACACCTTTTCCTGAAAGCAGTAAAGCATCACTTGTATTTGGATGCTTAGTCCAGAATCAGAAGGCAAATGATTGTAAGCTCTCAGATGGCATTTGAGTTTCAGCCCCAGAAGTGGGCTCTTCAACTCTGCCAGAGCTCAAGGCAGGAGATTATTTCATCAAATCTGATACAGAGGTTCTAGCTATTTCAAATAAAATGGACTGAAAAAGAAGTTTCCCTAGGATCCTGAATAACTAGTGGACGAAAAGGACTGCCAGGAAGAAATGACAAAAATAAAAGGGTTCTATCTACTCCTATTTTTTTTTTCTACCTAAAAAAAAGCAGGCATGGATCAGACAGATACTTTTACCACTTGCTTGAGTTCACTTATCTTGCTCTATCACTTTGGCTGCTCGCAAAGAAAACTGATCCAGGAAGCTGTTTCATTCCAGAAGATCATTTGAAATCTTTGCCTATGTAACTCTCCTTCCCCCTAGGGATTGGCTCTGTTGATCTAAGCAATTTGGTTTTAGTTTGACTTTCACGTAAGTGGCTAACACTAGAAATTTCCGCTGTCCACCCGGTGTTCAGTGCATTACAAGCTCTGTTCTTAAGAGTACTTTTGAGTTCCTACCCCCATCAATTTTCAAAGACAGCTACTGTGCATTTGTCGCTTTAAATAAGGACAGAAATAAGAACCAGAGATGGGAAACAGATGTCTCAAGGCATTCCCAATCACTCTCAATCTTACCCAATTTATATTTTCCCTCTTAATGGGAACCGACCTCTTTTCTCCAGATAAATGTATGGTGCTCGTCTTTACCGTGTCTGCCACACCTACAGATAGTTTCACTTACCCATCTCTTATATTTACCCTTGAAAAAGTTTCTTAAACAGCTCTCTTGGTTTGGAAAAGAAAATCTGCAGGGAGGACAGCAATTTATGAGAACCCTACCCTTGGGGTTCTTCCCTGCTCAAAGCAGAAATGCCCAGGAATAACTGTTTAGAATTACCTATAAAATTAAAACCCAGGAATCAGAAAGACTGGATTCAGGAGTGGAATTACCTGGATACAGTCTGTTAAATACCCTTCTTTCAAGCTCAGCAGTAGGACACCAATACACTTGAAAGTCCTACAGAGTCTCTGCTTCGGCTGAGAACCTCCAAAAATTCTTTTGTTAGTGGGAAGAAGGCAGGAAGGAAATCACTGAGCCGAGGAGACAGATGTATCTCTTCTCCAGAGGATCTCAGCATCACTGAGATGTGTAAAAACACTCAGCAAAGGGAGGCAGTGTTAGGTCAGTCGTGTCCTTTTCTTTACAAACTGGAGCATTCCCAAGGAGGTTGAACTGGTACATGGAAACATTCCGTCTCAGGGCATGTATCCAAAGGAAGACCAACCCTCCTCTGAAAGTAAATTGGGAGCCTTAGTAACAATTTACAAGAAAAGTGTGAGACGACGGGCCACAACTCTCACTACCTCTGAACCACTTCCTGATGTATAGCACAGGCAGCTTCCACACAGCTCAGTAACCAAGGAAATGTTCTACAGAAACCAGCTATAACAGACCAGAAAAGGTACCTCGAAGAACTCTCTAACTCTAAAACTTCTCCCATACCAACCTGACTAGCACCATTAATATTTCATAAAACTGAGAAAAACTTTCACTCACTTGTCAAAACATCCCTTGCTTTGCAGTTGCCCCCCGATGTGCAAAGCAATTTGGATAGCTGTAGTGGGACAGTGGTGGAATGGTACAAGCATATCTGTGTGGTACATCCCACATGGATGCAGATGATTTTTCAAGAGCCCAGTGCAATTCTTAGTCTTATCCCAGGCTACACTCTGAAACCACAGGGTTGTTGTCAGAGGTCCCTATCTTTTGTTGCAAAGATTAGAAAGGAGGTCGAAGCTGAATTGCAACTGTGGTTGAAAGTTTTAATCGTATGTTGCATATACAAAGAGAGATTTAGGGCACAGGGAAGGACACGACCTAGCACATCTGTGTCAAAGGGGAGGAACAGCTTCAGACAATCCACAAGAGTACCACCGAGGCTGCAGCTCAAGTTGCCTGTGATCTTTAGTAGCAGCTGCAAAAAAATCAGGGCATAAAGAAGATGGAGCAAGTTGAGGGAGGGGCTCCTCTCCACCATGGGTATCAGCGCCCAGAGAAATGATCCAGCCCTGCCGGCCTGGCCATCTGCTGCCCGGCTGCCTCCAGAGAGGGAGGTTTCTGTGTGCCCCACCAGAGGGGAGCTGAGCACTCCTCCCCCAGCCTGGCCATCCCACTGTTTTCCCTGCTCAAAGGAGAGGCACCCTTCCCATCGCCAGCGTGGGGTCATGTTCTGCTCTCACAAAAAAAGAAGCTCGGCCACTGCTCTCATCACCGTGCCTGGCTTCCAAGAGGGGCTCCTTTGGAGACCTCAGGAACAGAGGGTGAGAATTTCACAGAAAAATGGAAAAATTTGGTTGGAGCTTCTGGTGTGCACACTTGGAAGGGAACAGCTGCACCCAGAGACCCCAGCCCCACAGAGACCCTGTAGGAACAAACTCAATGTGAAATTCCTTCTGAACAAATTGAGGCTGGAATTATGTGTACAGACACAATGCTTGTGGGGTTTTTTTTTTCCTTTTTTTATTATCC